CAGAAATAGAAATACCAGTAAAAAATATATAATTTTTATATTTCTATTACAGTGATGTATATATTATATATATATATATATGTAGAAAACAGAGAGAAGAGAAATTGCAAAACCAGTAAAGAATTTATTATTTTCTATCTTTCTTACAGAGGTATGTACAATATATATAGAATTGTTCAAGTGTAGGGTACACGTGTAAAATAATGATAGGTGTTTATTTGAATACATTAAATGTGGTACTATTCAGTATTGATGTTGTCTTCAAATATGCCCCACAAACTGATGGATCGGGAACGATCGTCAGTTTGAGCCGTAACGTTTGAAAGCGCGGTGTTGTCATATTCTTGGTGAATATGTCCGCTATTTGATCAATGGAGTTGATTGGCATAATCCGAATTTTGTTATGCTGAATCTGATCCCGTAAAAACCGATGATCTATTTATATATGTTTTGTCCTTGCGTGAAAAACTGGATTATTGGTGAGGGCGATGGCGGATACATTGTCGCAAAATAGATCTGATGCAGACGGTTGGCTTATGTTAAAATCAGTCAACAGCCTTTTGATTCAAATCACATCGGCGGTAGCTGTTGCTAATGCACGATATTCGGATTCGGTAGATGATCGTGCCACCGTCGTTTGTTTCTTGACTGCCCAAGAGACTAGAGTGGTACCGAGAAAGGTGCAGTGTCCGGTGGTTGATTTTCTGGATAGCGGATCGCCGGCCCAGTCTGCGTCGGAGAAGGTGCGAAGCTGAAGATCCGATTTGGTGATAGGAAGTCCGAAGTGCCAAGTGCCTTGTATATATCTGAGAAGGCGTTTTAACAGATAGACATGATTATATAAAGGATTATGCATATATTGAGAAATTACGTTGACCGCGAACGCGATGTCCGGTCTAGTTAAGGTAAGATACTGAAGAGATCCGGTAATCCGCCTGTAAAATGCCAGGTTGGACAGTGTGGTATCTGGCGTGAAGTCAGTCGGTAATTTGGTTGCCGTAGGATTGGCCAGCGGCTTGCACGTCTGAAGGCCTGCTTGACATAAGATGGATTCTGCATATGCTTGCCGAGACAAAAAATATGAGTTAGCGTTAGACTGAATACTTATGCCAAGAAAATGATTTGCTAACCCAAGATGCTTTAGATTGAAGCGTGCGCCGAGCTGAGAGATGAAGACGGAAATGGCTTGTTTGTCGTTTCCTGTGATAAGTAGATCATCCACATAGACTAGCTTGTACATTTGAATGTTGTTGTGTGTTTATGTAAGTAGGGATGGATCTGCTAGACTGCACTTGAAACCGAGGGATATAACATGCTCTGTAAGAGTGGTGTACCATTGTCGCGGGCTTTGTTTAAGACCGTATATGGCTTTTTGAAGTAGACACACATGATTTGGTAGCGAAGAGTCTTCGAATCCATTTGGTTGACACATGTAGACCGTTTCCGATAGTTTACCATGCAGAAATGCATTTTCTAGTTCAAATTGTTGAATGTCCCAGCTATTAAAGAGAGCAACAGTTATAAGGATGCGAATGGTTGGAAGTTTCGCAACCGGACTGAATGTTTCAAAGTAGTCGATGCCTTGTTCTTGGTTATTGCCTTGTGCCACAAGGCGAGCTTTAAGTCTTGCCACCGTCCCATCCTTATGCCGCTTAGTACGAAAGGTCCAGCGACAACCTAAGACGGAAGCAGATTGAGGAGGAGGAACCAGAATCCAGGTTCCTTGTTTCTGTAAAGCGAAGAATTCTGTTGCCATAGCTTTACGCCAGTCAGCGGATTTTGCTGCTTCATTGTATGAAGTTGGTTCAGAGCTGCTTGTGGCCATTTGCTGATGTAACAGGTTAAGTCTAGTGCGCGGCTTCAGAGATCCCGTTTGTTAACGAGTGATCATGGGATGATGATGAATGGGTTGAGAACTTAAAGTAGGTGAGGGATCTGGTTGGGTAATCTGCTGAGCGTTGTTGGGTTGAGGAGTAGGACAGTGCATGGGGATAGTTGGTATGGCGAGTGATTGGTGCTGCACTTGAGAGATGGGTAGTAATAGGGAACTTGGGATGTTTGAATTGATTTCAGATGTTTGCTGTATTGCACCCGCGAGAAATGGAAAAGAATTTTCCATGAATGTAACGTGGCGGGAAAATTGAATGGAGTCTGTCTGTTTGTTTAAACACTTGTACCCTTTGTATTATTCTGAGTAACCGAGAAATACGCAGGACTGTGATTTTTGTTGCAACTTGTGTCTGAGCGGAGGATGTGATAGTGGAAAACATTCACATCCAAATGTTTTTAGATGATCGTAGGAGGGCTTTTGTTTATAGAGAGATTGGAATGGGGAAGAATTATCGGTATTGCTTGACGGTAACCTGTTTATTAGGTACATAGCAGTGTTCGCCGCGTCAGGCCAAAAATGAAGTGGAACCGAGGCCTGATGAAGTAGAGTTCTGGTTGTCTCGATTATATGGCGATGTTTGTGCTCCGCAACTCCGTTCTGCTCTGGTGTATATGGACACGAGAGTTGGTGTTGTATGCCATTAGAGCTCAGGAATTGACTGAGAGTAGTGTTACGGTATTCGGTGCCGCCGTCAATCCTGAGAGTCTTGATTTTGTAGTTAGTTTAATTTTCAATAAATGTTTTAAAAATAATGAAAATATGCGGAACATCCGATTTGTTCTTGAGAGGAAATATCCATGTGTAACGAGAAAAATCGTCAATGAATGTTACATAATACCTAAAACCTTGGTTGGACATTACGGGAGAACGCCCCCAAACGTCCGAATGTAACAATGCAAGAGGAGTTTTCATTCTATTACAAGATTTAGAAAAAAGCATTTTATGGCCTTTACAAGAACTACAAGCCACGCAGTTGTAAGAAGAAACAGAAATGTGAAGTTGAGGATTGGCGGTAGCAATCAGGCGCATGGTTCTTTGGTTGGGGTGGCCAAGCCTGTTGTGCCACACGGCTGAGGAAGACCTGTTCGCCTGAAGTGCTATCGTAGATGTAGACGAAGTCGCGATGGGGTAAAGACCGTCTTTACATGGGCCGCGTAGGATTATACAATCCGTTGTCATATCCTTTATAGTAAAACCGTTAGGATTGAACGCAATAGAGATATTGTTATCCTTAACGAGATTAGATATAGACACTAGATTATAAGATATGTTAGGAATGTGAAGCAGATTAGATAACTTGAGCTTACGGGGTGGAGTGGGAAGAATACCGGTACCCGAATGAGCTATCGGAAGATGACTACCATCACCGATGGTAATAGAGTCAGAGCCTTGATAGCTAGTAGATGTGGTAAGATTTTCGGTGTTATTTGTCATATGAGATGACGCGCCCGAGTCAAGATACCACTCGTTGTGGTTTTTGGAATCCGTCGTAGCGGTAAACGCCTTGGGTTGATTTTCATTTTGCTGTTGTGGGACGTAGTTAATGTTGAGCCTGTGCCAACAAGAGGTTGCGCTGTGCCCTTTCTTGTTACAAATCTGGTAAATGGAGATCAGTTTAGAGGGATCACGCCTGGCATTTTGCGGACCGGATTGAGACCGTCCCCTGTTTCGTTTGAAGCGTCCTCGACCTGCATAAAGAGCCGATTGCTGATCGGTTTGCAAGGATAATCTCGCAGCATCATTGTGGACGTGAATTTCTTCGTTGATAAGAAGCGAGTAAAAGTTGTCAAGACTCAAGGAGCTTTGCATTGTGCGGATGGTAGTTTTGAACACTTGATATTGCTGTGGTAGCCCATTTAGGATGTACATGATGATATCTTCTGGTTCGATTGTAGATCCGGCGGCGGCTATTTGATCCACAAGAGTCTTGATGGCTGTGAGATATTGAATCATGGTCTGATTCTTCATTGAGATATTGTTGAGCTCATTTTTAAGTTGGAGAACCTTTGATCGGTTTGAAGATTGAAATCTTGTTTCAAGTGCTTTCCAGATATCTGCAGTTGAATCAAGATTTAGAACATAAGGTAAAACAGTGGGTGATATTGTAGAACAGATTGCCTCAGAGAGGTTTCGGTCAGTCAGAAGCCAGAGGGCGGTAGAGGAGCCGTTTGTGGACGCCTGTGATGAATATTGTGTCTCTGAAGATGTGCAAGATGGTTCAAGAAAATGCTCGAATCCATTTGCCCGAAGTAGTTTGACGATCTGATTTTTCCAAATCGCGTAATTGTCGGTAGTTAGCTGTGTTGGTACGAGTGTGCGGAGGTTTGAGACAACGAATTTGAGGGACGCCGGTATGCCGGAGTCGGTGGAGCTGGCGGTCGGTGCCGTGAGCAGAGACGTCACAGAGGAAGCCATGGAGAAGAAGACCCGATTTAGGATCTTGCCATATCTGATACCATGTAGAAACCAGAGAGAACAGAAATTGCAAAACCAGTAAAGAATTTATTATTTTTCTATCTTTCTTACAGAGGTGTGTACAATATATATAGAATTGTTCAAGTGTAGGGTACACGTGTAAAACAATGATAGGTGTTTATTTGAATACATTAAATGCGGTACTATTCGGTATTGATGTTGTCTTCTAATACACCACTTTCTACTTGTAACTATTTTTTTCAACATAGTGAGTTTCTTTCCGAAGCACCATTGGAAGGTTTAAACCACAGTTTGAACTACCAAACGGTTTCCAAATGTGATATGCTTAAAGCCGAATCGAGCTGCTCGACAAGACGAATCAAACGAGCCCAATATCATCAAATTGTGATATCACTAAGACATTCAATTTCCCAATAAATGGTCAACGATCAAGGGATTCAACATCAGTCATCCATCCAAACCACTCCTAAAATACCTTTTATCTTCCATCAATTTACAAGTCATACCACTCTCAGAAATCTATAGATAGACCCCTCATGAGGGGGCAGGGGGCAAGAAAAGAATCAAGAGAGAGATCGGAGAATGCACTTGCCTCCTCGCTCCTCGTTGACCACCACCCAGACTTCTGTCGGACAACCACCTAACACAAGAGTTCCGCCGGACCACCGCCTAACGTCGGACTTCCGTTATGACCACCACCCAATTACGGAGTTCTATCAAACCACTACCTGACGCAAGAGTTATGCCGGACCACCGCCTGATGCTGGACTTCCGTCAGGACCACTGCATGATGCCGGACCACCGCCTGATGCTGGAGTTCCGGCGGACCACTGCCTGATGCTGGAGTTCTACCAAACCACTGCCAGACTACCGAATGAGGCCTGAACTTTTGCCAGACCACCGATAGAAGTCAGAGTTTCGCCAGACCACCGAATAATGCCCAACTTTTGTTGGACCACCACCTTAGGACTATGGTTTTTTAACCTCTATCTCTTGCCGACTGCGGTCCTTCCGACCTCCATCGTCAGATAACGGTCTTTTTGATCCCTATCTCATGTCGACTATGATCCTTCTAACCTCCGTCGCTTACTACGGTCCTTCCGACCTCCCTCGCCAGATAATGATTTTTCTGACCCCTATCTCCTGACGACTATGGTCTTTCCGACCACCATCGCCTATTACGGTCCTTTCGACCACCCTCGCCAGACAATGGTCTTTCTAACCACTGTCTCCCACCAACTATGGTCATTCCAACCTCTCTCGCCAGACAACGGTATTTCTGACCACTGTCTCCCGCTGACTACAGTCCTTTCGACATCCCTTGCCAGACAAAGGTCTTTCTGACCACTGTCTCCCGCCGACTACGACTCTTCTGACCTCCCTCGCCAGACAACAGTCCTTCCGACCACTGTCACCAGACTACGGTCTTTCCACCTCTGTCGCCCGCCGACTATCGTTCTGTCGACTAAACGAACATTTCAATATTAATTCTTCAAATTCCCACCATATAATATGATGTACATTTGCTACATCAGCCCAAGGCCTTCCCCCCAAGGAAGGGTCTCATTTGTAATCGACAGCAAATAATAGTGATGTACATTTGCTACATATTATATGATGTACATTTGCTACATCAGCCCAAGGCCTTCCCCCCAAGGAAGGGTCTCATTTGTAATCGACAGCAAATAATAGTGGATTCATTCAAACCGGGTGAGGCCCCGTGATTTTTCCCTCATTTCAAGAGTTTCCACGTAAAAACTCAAGTGTCTCTTATGAACGATAGTCCCTCTCTTTTATGTGCTTGTGTGCTAGATCTTCGTACAAAGTTTAGACATTAAATTTCATATTTCTCTACCGCCGCGAATATTCCAGGATGCAACACAATAATAATGTCAAAATATGAAGACTATACT